TTTTTTTTTTTTTTACCCAGCCAAATTGTTATTCCAGTAAAAAGGAAACAAGCATTTTTTGAAGATGCAATATTATTCCCGTAAGCCTTCTGGAAAATAACAACTCGAGGACAAACTTCAGTAAAAACTACATAGGATGAAAATAGATCCACACCACACACATCATCATGAAGTTTCAAAATACTTGGAACAAAGAGGAGATCATAAAAGCTTTCAGAGAGAGAAATGCGTTGCACAAAGCATCAAGAATTAGAGTGGTAGAAGACCTCTCAACAGCAGCACTGGAAGCCAGAAGACAACGTGGAGTAAATGACGTCACGATTCTCAGGGAAAATTACATCTTGCGTGGAATCCCATACCCAGCTGACCTCGAATGTGAATAAAGATATTTTTAGACATGTAAGTTGTTAAAAATATTTNTTTTTAAAAAAGTAAGGATTATAAAAGTCAAGAAGGAGAAGAGTGAGCAAAATGACATAGAAATTTTAAAAATTAGGATTATCTAGAAAAGGATAGACATAGAGGAAAGGCAAAAATATAGAGTTCCTAAAGAAGAAAACTAGAAGGAAAAAAACTGGAAAGATTATTTATAGATATAATTCAAGACAACTTGCCGGAAATTAAAGAAGCCTTGAATCTGAAAATGCATACCAAGTACCAGGAAATAATGACCAGTAAAAATGAATTCTGGGGCAATACTAATAAAAATTATTGAACTTCAAAAATAAAGAGATGGTTTTTGAGGGGTAGGCAGACAAAAAAGGGAAAATTCAGGGAAGATTCAAATCCTGTAAGAGGGCTGAGCAACTGCTACAAAGATCTCAAGGAAAGAGCAATCCACCCATTAGGATGGCCACTATCAAAAGAACAGAAAATGACAGTGTTGGCGGGGACGCGGAGAAATCGGAACTGTTGCGCATTATTGGTGGGAATGTAAAATGGTACAGTCATTATGGAAAACAGTATGGAGGTTCCTCAAAAATTTAAAAATAGAACTACCATATGATCCAGCAATCTCTCTTCTGGGTGTATATCCAAAAGAATTCAAAGCAGGGTCTCAAGGAGACATTTGTACACCTGTGTTCATTGGCCATTATTCACAATAGCCAAGAGATGGGAGCAACCCAACTGCGCATCAACAGATGAATGGGTAAAGAAAATGTTGGACAGGCATACAGTGCAATGTTATCCAGACTTTGAAAAGAAGGAAATCCTGTCACATGCTATAACATGGACGAATCTTGAGGACATTATGCTAAGCAAAATAAGCCAATCACAAAAGGACAAATACTGCGTGATTCCATTCATATGAAGCATATAAAGTAGTCAAAATCATAGAGACAGAAAGTAGACGGTAGGCCAGTTAGCCCAGTTGGTTAGAGCACGGTGCTGAGAACATCAAGATCCAGGGTTTGATTTTTTTTTTTTTTNCCCAGCTGACCTCGAATGTGAATAAAGATATTTTTAGACATGTAAGTTGTTAAAAATATTTGCCTCTGATGCACCCTTTCTCAGGAAGCTATTACATATTTGATACGTTAGATCAAAACAAGGGAGTAAACCAGGAAAATGAAAGTCCTGGGGTCCAGGAAAAGAGATTCAGAGCAAAGGAGAGATGAAAGGCCTGTCTGGGGTGACTGTGAAGGTGACCCCAGGATGACAGGTGTACCAAGGCACAGAGGACGCTGTCCAGAGGCCACAGGTCAGCAACTCTAGGGGCAATTTCTTCCTGAAGATGAGATGATGGAACTCCCAATGAATCAGAACATTTTGAAAGGGGAGTGGCATATCTGGGAGAAAATTGGGGATTAAAGTAGTGATAAATACACAGGAAACAGTCTTGCCCATTGAAGGTTCCCCAGCCCCTCTGCACATATGTATGTTGCTATTCATAGGTCTCATTTGGAAGGAAGATGGGGCTTC